GGGATGCATCCCTGATGCACTCCTTTCTTGATTTTGAACCATGCAGTGTTACCTTGCTCTGTTCTGAGGATTGCTTCTTGGTCTAAGTATAGGTTTCATATAAGCACAGTCTGAGATTCCCATTTTCCTCAAGGTTAGTCACAATGTATTGTGATCCACATGTCAAATGCCTTTGCAGTCAATGAAACACAGATAGACATTCTTCTGGTACTCTCTGCTTTCTGCCAAGATCCATCTGACATGGCAATCACGTCCCTACTGCCATGACCTCTTCTAAACCAGCCTGTATTTCTGGTAGTTTTCTGTCAATGTACTGTTCAAGTCTTTTCTGGATAATCTTCAGCAGGATTTTGCTAGTGTGTGATATTAGTGATACTATTCAATAATTTCCACACTTTCAGGTCACCTTTTTTTGGAATGGGAATAAATATGACTTTTTTCCAATTAGTTGGCCAAGTAGTTGTCCTCCAGATTTCTGGGCACAACTTGGTGAGCACAGTTAGGGCAGCATTTGTTTGCTGAAATATGTCAATTGGTATTCCATCCATTCCTGGGGCTTTGTTTTTTGCTAAGTCCTTCAGAGCAGCCTGAACTTCCTCATTCATCATGAGCCTCTTACTCATATGTTGTTTCTTGAAATTCTTCTTTGTCAGCCAATTGGTTTTGGCACAATGACTCTGTATATTTCTTCCATCTGCTTTTAATGCTTCTTGTTTCATTCGGTATTCTGCCCACAGTATTCTTAAGCATTTTGTTTAGTATTATTGATATTATTGAGAGGGACAGTTCCTCTTTATAGGACATGGATAAAAGTCAGATTTGGCCTTCCCTATGTTATCACTACCCCATTTACAGTCCCCTTAAAGTAGGAGAGCCTTGTTCATCGCCTTAGACTAGGCGAGGTTGTGATACCTATCCCCTTAGACTAGGGGAGTGTAGCATCTATCCACTCAGACTAGGATGTGTTCTTTACAAAAGTGTAGTATCCATATCTTTAGACTACGGGAATGTGGTGTCCATCCCCCTTAGACTAGAGGAACGTGATGTCTATCCACCTTCCACCATAAGAACATGGTGTCCATCCTCGTTAGACCAGAGGAGTGTGGTACCCATCCCCCTTATACTACGGGAACATGGTGTCCATTCCCCTCGAGACTCTTTAAGTACCTTTCCTCATTTGTTAACTGTTATCAAGGAGATAATGGCTTGAACAGTACGAAGCTTGGTCTCCTTTCTTTGGGAGCCTTACTTCTCTTTTTGTGGCACTGGTAACATCTGTGTTCTACTACATCGTTCAGAAAATTCTCTGCTTCCTATGATGGCTCTTTCCTTGACCCAGGGACTATTTAGGTGCATATGTAAAAATTTCCAATTCTACTGGATTTTCTTGTTGTTACTAGTTTGTAGTTCATGTAGTCTGAAAGCAGTGCCCCATGTGATTCCAGGTCTTATGAGTATGCTGTACTCTTCTTTGCCATCACAGACATGGGCAGCAGTAGGTGTCCTGGGAGTGCTTTTAAGAATCTTTTCCAGCTGTGATGCTGCTGGAAACATCCATGTCCAAGGGTCAGTTACATCTTGAGTTACTCAGGTCTGTATCAAGAGGACTTGTTATGGTGGGTCCATCAACTTTTACTTTTTCGAGTATAGCCTTTGGTGTCTACCAACTTAAAATTGTTCTGTGTTGCACATGACTCCCACTTCCTACCATTTTGTAAGTGTCTTCTCTGTCCATATTGATTTTTCTTCTTTTTCCATTTTAGATGTTTGTAGTAGCTGTCCTGAGTTGATTTTGGTTGGGTTTTGCATCCCTTTTCTCATGTAGAAGGAAACTTGTGCATAGCAGAGGGCATATGAGATTAAAGTTATGTTGTCTCTTATAGGATGATGTGATGATGCCAGAGCGGGTAAGGCTGCAACTTGAAGCTGCTGCTCAGCACCCCTGCAGTGTAAGTACCGTGTTTCCTCATTGTCACAGTACTCGGTGGGGCCACTGTCACAGCTTCTGAGTATCAGGTACTCTCTCAGGTAGTTCTCTGCAGATCTATGGTGACTATGCCTGCAGTGTTATTCCAGGCACGCATGTTAAAGTAGGTGTAAAGCGGTTTTAAATTTTTATTCAGTGAGTGTTTCTTTTAGAAGCAGAGCATCTTAGATAGGAAAGCACAAGCTGAGTGCTATAATGTCAGCAGCGACCTAGTGGATAAGGAGCTGCTGCATTGTTAATCCAAAAACAGCAGTTCAAATCTACCAGCTGCTCCTCGGGAGGAAGATATGCAATCTCCTTCCATGAAATTTATAGTCTCTAAAAAATCCACTAGAGGGTCACAGTGAGTTCATTCTGACTTGATGACAAAGAGTTATTATGTTCTTTTTTGAAAATATTCAAACAGAATTGCTGCTAGTGTAGTGGTGAAACAGCTTGGCTGCTAAATTCAGTACTGGCCACTCAAACTCACCAGCCATGCTGTGGGGAAGATGAGGTAGCCTGCTTCCTGAAAGATTAGAGCCCTGTGTAACAGCTCTACGCTGCCTTACAGGATTGCTATGACTCAGAATTGACTTGACATCAGTGCATTATATTTTTATACTATCATCTTTAAGTTCCATTTCTTTGGAGTTTTTGAAGGCCTCTTATTTCAGAAGTGGATGGCCAATCCTGCTTCCTAGTCTGTCTTAGTCTGGAAGCACCATGGAAACCTGTTCACCATGGTGACCCCTGCTGGCATTTGAAATACAAGTGGCATAGTTTCCAACATTGCAGTAACACACCACTAAGTACATCCAGTTGACAGACAAGTACTGTACCCATTAGAACAAACTATAAAACAAGCAAATGTGCCAGAGGAAATAGAAAACAAACTGTCTGGCCTGTGACAGTGTATCTGCCAGCCCAGTAGATGAATTGGGGTGCTTAGTTGGGTCAGAATTTCTACTTCTCAAAATTTCTACTGAATGGGGACCAAAGCCCTAAGATGTGAGTCAGGTCACACACACTAGCATTAGGGATGTCATTGTTGATATCACATGAATCTTGTCTAAACACAAGAAATACCAGAAAAATATTTACTTGTGTTTTATTGGCTAGACAAAAGAGGGTTTCTTCTTTTTCTTTTCTTTCTTTTTAAAAAATTATTATTATACAAGTTTATTTACAAAATGCGAATACATTGTTTTCCAGAACAGATTCTTTCGATTTCCCTCACACCCCCGATCAAATTGTACAACCCCATGATTATTTTGTATTATTAATTTTAATGAAAGTTTACAGAGACTTTGGATTTCCATTCATTCATTGTTGCACTTTTCTCCTTGCCCACCCCTCCCCCCCAGTTATATGCCTCCAATTTTCTTTTTTTTTTCCAGAAGAGTTTTGCTTATACTGGCTTTCTTTCCTTTCCAAATGAACCTGGAAATTGCCTTTCTATCTTCTTGAAGAATGAATTTGTTATATGTATCGGGATTACCTTGAACTTGTAGATTGCTTTTGGTAGGATTGTCATTTTCAAAGTGTTCAATCTTCCTATCCATGAACAGGGAATATTTGGCAGTGACATTTCAGACAAGGGTGTCATAACAAAAGTTTGTAGAATACTATAAGGATTCCACAAGAAAAAAATTAATCAGCCAATCACAAAATGGGTAAAATACATGAGAAGACTCTTCACAAAAGAACACATTCAGATGGCCAGGAAACACATGAGGAAATGTTCAAAATCACTGCCAATAAGAGATGAAAATCAGAACAACAGTGAGATACCATCTCATCCAGCAGCTGCAGCAAAGCTTAACAACACTGCAAACAATAAATACTGGAGAAGATACAGAGAGATTGGAACTCTCTGGTGACCTAGTAGTAAGGTACCGTGCTGCAATTCCAAAGGCATGCAATTCAAATCCACTAGCTGCTCCGTAAGAGAAAGATAGACAATCTCCTGTGTGTTTAAGTGCCTCTGAAAATCCATGGGAGGGTCTGTTCAAATTTGACAGCACATAATATCAAACAACATGCACTGTTTTCTTTGGGTTTTTTTGGTAGGAGGTATACTGGTTTCCTTACAAAGTTTGTTTACATTGTTTTTCATACCGACTCTTTCCCTTTTCTTTTACCCACCCTTCCCTCCATCCATCAAATGGTGTGACCCTGTGATTAATCGCCCTTCGCCTTGCGCCCCTCCTCACCCCTTTGATCCCACTCTCACCCCCTTAGATCCTCATACACATTCTACAATAATGGACTTATATAGTGTTTGTCCTTATGGGACTGAGTTGGTTCACTTACTGTCCAGTCCCTCCCAAGTTAGGTAGTAATTTACAAAATCATTGCTCCTATATGCTGCATAGTACTCCTTTATATGAATGATTTCGCAGTTCATTTGATGTGCTTAGATATTTGGGTTGTTTCCATGTTCTTGCAATGGTGAATAATGTTGCTGTGAACATTGGTCTCCACTTATGCCTCAGTGCTCATTTTCTCAGGATATGTTCCAAGTAGTGGAATAGCTGGTTTATATGGAATTTCTTTGTTCAGCTTTTTGAAGAAATGCCAAACTACCATCCAGAATGGTTGTACCATTTTACAAGCCCACCAACAATGTATAAGAGTTCCTATCTTGCCACATCCTCTCCAACATTTATTACTTGCTATCCTGTTAAACTGTGCCACTGCTACTGGAGTGAGATGGGATCTCATTGTGGTTTTGATTTGCATCTCTCTTAATGCCAGTGATTTGGAGCATTTCTTCATGTATTTCTTGGCCATTCAAGTATCCTCTTCTGTGAAAAGTCTTTCTATGTCTTTTTTCCCCATTTTGTAATTGCAACATGCACTGTTAATGGGACTGTAAAGTGGTATAATAGCTATGGAAGGCAGTTTGACGTTTCCAAAAAAGAAAAAACAAACCAACCCTGAACATAGAAATTTCATATGGTCCAGCTGTTTGACTGCTAGGAATATATCCCCAGGAAATCAGAACTGAAACATGAATGGAGATATGTATACCTATGTTCATAACAGCATTATTCACATTAGCAAGAAAATGGAAACAGCCAAGATGCCAATCAACAAACAAATGGATTGAGAAATTATGGTACATCCACACAATGGACTGCTATGCAGGAGTAAGGAACAGAAACTTCATAAAATACTGTATAACTTGGGAGAGACTGGAGAGCATTATGCTGAGTGAAATATCTCAATCAGATAAGAACAAATATTGCACAAGGCCATTTGTGACAAGGAATAACTGAACAAGACATGTATGAATGTTCAAAAGGCAGAGGAGATGGGAGAAATCACTGGAATAGCAGAGGCAGGTGGGTGGAAGAGGATAAAGGAATGGGATGTGTTCAATAGGGATTTGAAAAGACAGGGTGATACTAAGCCTAGAATAATGGTGGCGGTTGTTGTTGTGTACCATAGAGTCAGAACAGACCCATGTCTGACCCTCTGGTGGGTTTTCAGAGGCAGTCATCACACAGAAGGAGATTGTCCATCCTTCTTCCTCAGAGCATCTGGAAGCCTTGAACCATGAGCCTTTGGGAATGCAGTGCAGTTTCTTGCCACTAGGCTGTGGAGCCCCCTAGAGCATTGGTAATTATGTTAAATATAATGCATATGAATGTGTAAAATACAAAGTACATGTACAAAACACAATGTATATGAATATGCGAGTCAATTTAAAAAATAAAGTTTTGGAAAGTACTGTTTGTTACCATGCTAACTTAAGAACCTTGATTTGTGTTTTTCAAAAGTTGTTCAGGTGAGAATATTTCCTGCAGAACTCCTAATTAAATTCGCCTACTATTCCACACACAGCAAGCTCTCATGGCTTATTGGTAAGAATTTGTGTTGCCACCAAAGGATTATGGTTTGCATCTAACAGCTGCTCAGCAGGTCATAGGCAGTCTCCTCCCATGCAGTTTACTCCTCTACAACCCACTGCAAGGCTGGTTCTTAGTCACTTGTGACTCAAGGTACACAAAGTTGTTCTATGTGCCATCGAGTCACCTGAGACTCATAGCAACCCTATGTATAACAGCTTGTACTATGTACTATGTGGCTTGTTAGGTCTGATGCCTCTGGTTCTCTAGTTTTTAGAGTAGTGTTTATAATACTTTGTGTACTTCTCTGTGTAGGTCTGTCATCCTTGACCACTGTCCAACTTTCAGATGTTGTCATGTGTGTAGGTCAATTTCTGTATGATGTTGTCATGTATGTTAATTTTGGTTTATTATCTATAGTTGTTGGTTCTCACTTCAAAGAACTCCCTTTAGTATTTCTAATAAGGTTGGTCTAGTTTTCACAAATTCCATAGTTTCTGTTTATCTGGAAATGCTTTAACTTAACTGTCATAATTGAGGAACAATTTTACTAGGCATATATTAAAAAAATAAGAGACATGTGGGGGTCACCATATCCAAGCTTTACCAACTTCACAAAGGGAAACTGTCCCGGTCAACCTCAACCTCACAAAACCAGGACTGACATACTTGAGTCCATTGCTATAGTCACTGTGTCTGTGCATCTAGTTGAGGGTATTACTCTCTTTTGCAATCCCTCCACCGTGTGTGTGTGTGTGTGTGTGTGTATGTATGTATGTATGTATGTTTATGTATCTTTTTGTTTGTTTTGTTGTGCACCATCAAATCAGATTCGACAGGCACAAGAGATTGCCCCTCCATCCCCAGCAGAGCATCTGGTGGATTCGAACCACACTCCTTCAGGATTGAGTGCAGCTTCTTCCCACTAGGCCACGAGAGCTACCTTCCCTACACCTTTTTAAAATATGAAGTCCTTCTGCAAGGGACATCATACTTCTCCTACCCTCTCCTAGCAACATGCCCAAAGTGTGTAAGATGAAGCTTTATCATCTTTGCCTCCAAGGAGAACTTTAGCTGCACCTTTTCCAAAACCATTATAATAGAATGTGCAGAGAGTTAGAACTGG